GAAGCTACTGAGAGCTGTCCCTCCGCGAGAAGCCACCCGGCTCCGGAATGCGTCGGTGTCCCCAGGGGCCCCCAGCACCCCGCTGCTGCACACGGTTGCTCGAGAAGCCTTTTAGGGCCCAGAGGTCTGGGTGTCCGGGTGCAGTTTACTACCGATGCTCTTTCTGCTAGGTTGTGCAGGAGAGGTGGTACTGACCACTTTCTGGATTAGACACAGGCGACCAGGAACAAGGACCTGTGACCCTAATGGCGCCTAGTGCTCTGTGCCCAGGATGTGGGTGGCCCACAGAGGTGGTTGTCCCCACAGGGGAACCGGACCTCCCCCAGACCAGGAGGGCTGGGGTCTTTCTCCCGTGGCCTGCCAGGGGCTTCGATGGATGGCCTGTTCCTCTGGTACTTGCACCCCTCCCCTGTGTTACTCATGCCAGGCTCTGGGAAGGGCCCCACCCCTCCTGGCCTCCCGCTGGTTGTCCTCCTTCCATCCTGGCCCTCAGTGTTTGCTTGGATCATGACACAGGAGCACGTATCCCTTCGAAGACTCTTCCGATGCCAGAGAACACCTTCCTTTCCTGCCAGGACCCGGGTGGCTTCTGCCAGATCTAGATTGAGCTGCCACCTTGCACAGGGCGACCTCAGGAGGGCACAGTGGAGGGGTGCAGAGCCAGGCAAAGGCACCTGCCTCATGCCGTGGCCCAACTGCCAGTATGACAAGAAAACCAACTCGCAACCTGTTAGATGTCAGATGAGCCGAGTGTGTGTCTCCTGAGTAGTGAAGACTGAGTCTCCAGAACAAGGGAGTTAGGAGTCAGAAAGGTTTCTTGAGAGCTCCTGAGAGACAGGAGTGTCCTGAAAGTGGTTTATGGCAGAGGCTTGTTCTCCAAGGATACTTTGTACCACAGAATCACAGCGAGGGTACAATGCGGGCCAAACTACTGCTGACCTAGGGGTCACAAGTCACTTGGCTGGCGAGTGCGTAGTAACCATCCCTAACCCGAGCTTATCTTGGCCTCCTCAGGTGTTCCTGCAAAGGCATGGGAGCATGGGGAGGGCGTTCTGCTCACCCACCTCTGTGTGCGACTGAACAGGGCCCACTGAGAGGCTGGGAGGCTGCAGGCATGGTCGTCGCGTCTCCATCCTGAGGCCAGGCCTCTTCACATGCACCCCAGCCACAGTCTTGGGTCTCGTCTTCTGCGAGGACTCCCCAAGGGCCTGCCCTGTCTTACTGCTGTCCTTCAATCCCGGGAGCCTGGGTTTGGCAGGATGACTCCTTCTGCTGGCATTGGCTGGGGTTGTTCTTCAGGCAGCCATGCTCTTCCGGGAGGTTTGAGGCTGGGCTTCCAGCTCCAGAGCCATGAGCGCGCGTGCGCGTCACACACACACACACACACACACACACACACACACAACCTTGTGTCCACAGAGAGTATCAGTGGTACGTGCACCACTTCTATCACCAGGGATCCAAGCCGCCCATGGGAAACTCCTGCGTCTTGAGCGGGAGCGTCTTAAGCTGCTCTTGGTGGGTTGTTCCCGGAGATGAACCCGCCTGACCCTCCGTTCTGTCTGCGTGTGGTCCCCTTCGGTCTGGAAGCAAAATGACTTCCCCTGACCTTGGGTCTGGCCTGGTCTTGGAACTTGCTGGCACCAAGTGTGTCACTTCCCAGCGGGGCCCCAGAGGCTGTGTAGGGTCCACCGTGAGCCCTTGGGGTCCAGCAGCCACATGGTCAGTCAGGCAAGGACACTGGAGTTCGAGAGCCCGGGGCAGAGAGAAACCAGCCTGTTCCAGCAACCAGGCCCTGCAGACACAAGGACACAGGGGTGTGTGCGCGCGTGTGCGTGTGTGCGTGTGTGCGTGTGTGCGTGTGCGTGTGCGTGCACGAGGGTGGCTGAGAACGCAAAGGGGACTTGCACAGTGGACAGAGGAGGCGGCACGTGGCCTCCGGGGTCGCAGCCTTGCGCTGGGACACCGCCCTCTCTGTTGGGTCACCTCCAGGAGCACCGGGCGGCCGTGTCCCCTTGCACCGGCTCCAGGATTCTTCAGTGGAAGAAACTGGGTTTCTGGGCCCCCACAAGTCCAGATCCTTTGCGTCTGGGTGCTTGTTCCCTACTCACTTGCCTCACGAGTTCATATTCTCCTTCTTGGTCACACGGAAATGTCCCTCTTGCCACTCTCGGTTTAGTTACTCCCTGCCTGTTATAGTGTGGATCTTGAAGGTCCCCAAGGCCCTTGGGCTGAAGACTTGGTCCCCAGTCTGGGGCACTTTGGGGAGGAGGGGTGGAAGGTCACAGGACGCACCCTCGGTGGACCCTGGGACAAGGTCATTCCTCTCTCTCTGCTTCCAAGCCGCCTGGTCAGAGCAGCTTCGGCCCACCTTGCAGTCCCTGTCCCCAAGTTCTGCAGCCACACAGGCCCAACAGTGAAGGAGCCTCTCTGCCCACAGCAAAAACAAACATTCCCTCCTTTCATCCACTATCTTAGGTATTTTATTGCAGCAACAGGAAGCTGACTCACACACTCCTCTAGCATTTTTCCTGGCACCATTGAGTAAAATTTCTGAGCCGTAGTTGTAAATTAACAATATCCATGGAAATTTCCCAACAACATGCTTCTCTCCCTACCTTTGGGCTCAGCTGGTTTGGGCCGGGTCTGACCTCGGTACTTGCACGGCCTGCGACTGAGTGATGCCCACCCTCCTACCCTCTAGCGTTGCATGGAGCCTCCTCCATGGCGAGCTCAGCACATGGGGAGGGAGCGAGGCAGACCCGATCTCCGATTTGGTGCCCCAAGCACCAGGTAACAGAACAGAGGGTATGAAGGCGGGCACTGCAGAGGCGCCAGCCGGGGTGTCGTCCCCCGGGTCCCACGGTCCCTTCCTCTGCCAGACCGGCATCCCTGGAACATGAGGTCAAAATGTCATCCCCCCCGGGGACCCTGAGAGACAGTGCTGACACAGGGGAAATGGTGTAACTCCCCCTGCTAGAGGTCAGATACGCTGAGTTCATGTTTCCCAGAATCGAAGAATGAATTCTATGGAACAAGTCTTTCCCAAGAGTAGGAAAACTTTATTGAGACAGATAGCTCCTGAGAGACAGGAGGGGACCTGAGTGGGTTGCCAACGAGCCCACTTCTCAAAGGAAGTTTTATAGAGAGCAAAATCACGAGGTGTGTACAAGGTGGGTCAAAACTACCATCACCCAGTAAGATTACAAGTATAGCTGCTCAGGTAACATTGGTCCAATGGGGAAGCAGATAATGTAGCAAGGTACCTGGGAAGAACAAGGAACTTTCCAGGAAGGGATGGAGGGAGGTCCTGGTCACCCACCAGGGTGGCTGGTGCCTATCTAGACTTTATTGGACCAGGTGATACCAATTATAGTACAATCTTCAATTTAGTGCTTACCCCGCAGGGAGACACGTAGGCCTGGTCATTTTATCTTTATCTTGAGGCCTAGCCTTCTACAGATGCGCCTCCAGCCACAGTTGTGATGTGTTCTCCTCCTCTGCACTGACTCCCTCCAGGGCGCGGCCCTGTCTGGTTTTTTTTTTTTTTCTTGGTACCGGGGATCAAACTCAGGTCCTTGCGCTTATGAGGCAGGTGGCAGAACCACTGAGCTAGATCCCTAGCCTGGCCCTGTCTGACTGCCTAGAGCATTTCTACCTAATTTAGCTGTCGTGTCGTACCTCTGAGTTACTTTTGAAAATCAAGTTTGATTTGGTATTGTATAGGTGTCAGAAAAGGGAACAGGTTGTGTTTCGTTATAATTCTTACTCCAGAATATGTGAAAAGGGTGAGTGTCAATCTCACAGCAAGACTCAATCTTCCAGACTTTGAGAACAGTCACAGAGGCCCGACTTCTGGGTCTGCCTGGGTCAAATGCAGGGGTCTCTGGTCTGGGACCCCCAAGCCCTCTGGAGACCCACACGTCCCTGACCTGCTCCCTCGGGCTTCCTTCCTCATTCTCCAGGTGTCAGGCTAGCTAAGGGGTTGGTCCTGTCCCTCTGCAAGGGGACCCTGAGCCTACCCGAGGCTCTTTCACATGTGGCAGAAATGGCCTGTCCCCAAATAAGCCCGATCAGGATCCAGGGTTCTTCTCAGAGTTCCATTTTCTCTTGGTTATTTTTCAATAAGGTGACATGAAAGGAAAATATGCTAAGAATTCTTTCCTCTTTCCTTGTTTGTCTTTTATACTCTCTTCTGCCCTATTTTGTTTCTCTAAAGGATCAATGACTTTGATTCCAGTTTTCGTTCAGAAAAACAAACCAAGCTCTACTGTGCTTAAAATTATCAATAAAGTGATGAAAGCATTTATTGTATCATTTAGCAGAAGTTTCAATATAGATGGTTAGTGTTCCTCTCCAACAAAGTAAATACAACTGTAGGTGATCAAAATACAAGCTGGCCAGCAGTTAGCAATGCATGTTATCCACAGTAATGCGCACCTTTGCTTGAAAACGTCCTGTGGATTTACACATGATGACCTGAAAGAATGTTCTACTTACAGACACCTCTCAGAAAACTAGGAAAATGGCTTCTCTTGCCCCTTTGCTTTTAAAAAAGATAAAATGGTTTCCTTTGAAATAGCTCAACTCTTATTATTTATATTTTATCAGTTTAAT